ACAGCCTTAATGGCTTGGATGTGCTCACATACTCAAGTGACAGCCACAGATGGAAGAGTCCAAGGACCAGGTTTCTCCGCTAGATGAACAAACGCCACAGCCTGGAGCTTTCCTCTTCCCTCTCTTTCTACCTCCTTAATATCTAGAGCTGTTGTCAGAACATCCATGGCCTCAGCATCCAAACCCCAGGCCACAGGGTCCCTTCACTCAACACTGGGGCATAAATCATCTCTACGTCCCCTAAGCCAAGGCAAGTCCCACTCTTGTTCCCCTGCAGAAGCTCCCCCCTGCTGCAGGCAGGAGCTGTTCGGCACCACATCTCCACACAGGCCAGACTGGCAGTAGAAGCTAGGATGCCTGCAGGGAATTCTCCCCTGAATGCACAGAGCGCTCTAACAAGCGCCCTTTGTTCGTCAGCATGAAGCCACGTGCAGCAAGACCAGCCAGGCCTTAGGTAGCATGGAGGTTTAATGCAGTGACCTTCCACCTCCCGCTCAAGTCCTGGTCCTGGGTCAGAAATAATAATGAGATCTGCCTGCAGCACAAAGACAAACAGTTTGGAATGAACAGCAGTCTGCGCCCAGGAGCCAGGGGCTGCGGGTCAGCATGGAGGGGCATCGGCAGAACTGGGGGAGCCTGGAGCTGGGATAGCAACAGGGGGCTCTGCAGCGGGATTGAGGGGACCCAACAGAGCTGCATGAAGGCACCTCAAATAAGGGGTGTAACTTAACTGTGCAGCAAGGCCCTCAACCATGCTGGACAAAGGTTTGGTGCTTCTGAGAACCCTCTCCTCTCCCTGCATTTCCTCCACCAACACAGGGAGATTTGGTGACTTTCTCCATTCAAGTGCTTAGCCCAGAAAACACAGGTCAGATCCACTGCTGAGGGAAGGGGTGCAAAACACCAAAAGAAGGCTGAATCCAGATCACTGGGAAGGGTGGGGACTTCCCATATCCACACCTCCAGCAGGGGAGTGAGGCTGCTGTTCACCATTTGCTGCCCCATGAGTGCATGCAGTAGTTCCACCACATGCACCAGGGGGCCAGGTCACAACCCAGACACTACAATAGACAGGGCTGCCCTGGAATCGGATCCCAGGTCCCCGAGAAGTCAGTTATCAGGGGAATAGCTTGTCCAGTGCAGCTGTAGAGATAGCAGCCCTTGGGATCAGCTGTGCAGGACAGTGTCTTTACAGCCAGTTTGACCAACCCCTTGTGCCAGCACCTGGCCTATGAAGCAGCCAGCTGGCTCTTTCGCATGCCACACGTTCCCTCCCAGAATGATGGGAGACAAGACCCCTGAACAGCACCAAGTGGTGTGCAGGGCAGGGCAAAGCAGAGGTGGGGAATTCAGACCCAAACCGAGCTGCAGTCAGGATAAGGCCTGGGCAGAGTGGTAAACTCCCTCTACCCCACAGCCAGGTAAAGATAAAATGTAACTAGACCCAGAGGCAACTAAGGCCTTCCCCTTCAACTGCATGTGGGGAAAGAGGCAGTGTGGACCACTGCACAGCTCCGTGGAGCTGGGCAACCCATAGCAACATAGGAGGCCAAGTCCATGTGCTAACACAGGCCTCCAACACTGCTGGTGGGTACAGCAAGCCAGGGGCAAACTACAGTCTCCATCTCACCTTAGTGAGCAGGGCCTATGCAGAAGCAGCATGCAGACCTTCCCCTCTGAGCCCTGTATCACCACCACATTTAGAGTGGCCTCGTCCCCACGCAACAAAAGCAAAGCTGAGAGCCAACACTGCCTTCACAGGAGCTCCCCTCCATTCACACAAACAGCCAAATAGCTTTTTCAGCTCCTTCCATCTCTGCTGCATTCTCTCCCAGGCAATGCCCTAGTGAACTACACACCCTCTGGGCAGAACAGGGCACTGGTGTCCCTACCAAGGTACTACCTGTGCAGGCTGCCCAAGGGACTGCACCACCAAAGGGAATGAATCTGAGACCACTGTGGCTGCTGGAAGGAAGGAGGAGTTGACTAGACTTGGAAGGGCCCAAGAAAGGAGGATTCAGCCCCGCACCCCAAGCGTCCTGGCTTCTGCACAGAACCGGTCAAGAGGAAACCTGACCACCTGCCTACTCAGGGGGTCCCTCAGAAGACTGGCAGCCTCCATGACGGATCATAACCACAGTTCTTTGAGAGCCAGACCCACAGCTTGGATTTCATCCCTCCCCAGGAGAGCATCTCAAGGACCAAGCTGCAAGAAGCTGGGCCTAGGGCTGGGGATGAAAAATGCAGCAGAATCCCCAACCCAGCAAATTCAACCAGCCCTCACACCTCCACTTGACTGTCCAGTCTAGCCAGGGATGAATTCCCAATTCGCTCTGTGGGTCAAGAGAGAAGAAGGGAAACCCTCCTAAAACACAAAAACTCTCCCCTATAAGGCCCCTAGCCACAGTTGTGGCTGCTGTTATATAGGGCACAAGACACAAGGGCTGGGCTGGCAACCTGGAACCTGCCACCATGTGACTGCTGCATCACACAAAAGGGTTTAAAGCAGCATCTTAAAGCACTGTTAGCACAGGTGAAGCAGCTGACACTATGGGGCCAAGGTATTTTAAGAAGGGATGCTTCCATGTCCTCTTCTGGCCACAGTTCCCCTTTGCAGTGTGCTCCTAGAATGCCCTGCCTGGACCCCAGAGCAGGAGGGGAAGGGGCTGGCTGGGCACTAATGCCCAAACCCCTTTTGGCAGCTCCCATAGTGACAAGGGCAACATCAGTCCATGTCAGGACGAGACCTTGCCCATCACCAGCCTCCTGTCAGCTGGAATGGTTTCACACACACAACTGACAGCACCCCTTCCCCACCCTGCTCACCTGGATGCTATGGTCCAGGTCCATTACATCCTGGTGCTTGCCTAAAACCCATGTAGCACCAGGGCCTTGGGTCACCTACAAGATTGTGTTGGGAAGGTCCCTCCCCCGCAACCAAAGCCAGTTGCACACACGTTTCCTCCCTGTCAAAGCCCAGGCTGGGGGGTTACATTTTTAGCCTAAGACCCAGGGCAACAAGAAGCGTTAAGCCCTCGCTGCCTTCCACCCCTTCCCCAAGGAGAGATGGTTCCAATGTCTAATGGACCTCACCAGCAGGAATTTTTCTTGATACTCAGCCAAAGCTCCCTTTGTTCAGCTCCAGCTCTACAGCCCCGGTGATCCCAAGTCACAAACCCTCCTCAACACTGATGCTCTTCAGAGGCTTGTAATGTTTTGCTTCCCACCCTTAAATCCAGCTTCAGAGTCCCTTAGCCAGGTACAGGCATTGAAGGAAGTTCTCTCCAAATCCAACCCCTCCAACCTTTCCCTCTAAAACAAAAGTTTCTCTCTGGTTTGCCAGCCTCTTCCTTTCAGCAAGCAGCACAGAGAGCACAGCTATGGTCCTTCCAAACAGTCAGACCACTGAATCTATCCACTCTGCTCCTTGGGCAGCCCTGAGAGCCTAACTTAAACAGCCCGACCTGCAGCTTGCAAGCAGTGTGCATTTTTAACTAGTAGTAAAGCAAGCTCAGGTGTCAGCCAGCTGGAATGGTTCTGTGCAGGTTGGGCTATTTCCACTGGGGAGGGAAGGGAGAATGTCCTTGAAGGAGGAATTAAATATATTAACAGGTATCTACAGCCAACACTAGGGTCTTACTTAATCTTCTTTTCAGCCTCTTACACAAAGTTATCACTCAGTGCAGAGGGGACTTTTGCACCATGACACACCTCAGGTGCCCAGGACCCCGGGCACCAGATGTCCAATGAGAACTGGAACGTTTTATGTAAGAGTGAGCCTGTTCCTGGCTTTTGTAGATGGCATAGGCCTCATCCCACCCACAATCTCAGAGCAAAACCAATGCAACACTGTCTTCATCACTGCCATGCTGCCTCTGTGGAAGCTCACAGCTCTAGGCATTTACATCGACACTAACAAAATGCTGGTCAGTTTTGCAGCTGCCCCACAGAGATCTGTGTAATGAAGGGGAGGGGGGGATCAGATCCACATTCTGCCCAATGAAAAATAAGAGCTTCAGTCCTTCCTTCTACTAGGCACAGTGATGAGGACCCTAAGGTAATGGAGAAATGTGGTGGAAGGGGACAGGAGAGAAACAGGGACCTCCTTCCCTCTCCAACCAGCTAGAAGTTCTGGGGGAAGAGGCAAGAGTTCCTGTGCAGCAAAGAGAGGGTGGAACTTCACATCTGTCAGACACTTGTTAGCCAAAGGCCGATCACCAAAGGAAACACTTCCAAGCAACATCCAGGGAGCAGTTCCTCCTTCCTAGGGAGCTGGTGGCAGGGAGCTGGACACCTCTGGAGCAGCAGCTGTCCCACCTCAACAACTTTTACATCTGCACCTGCGTACTAGCTCACCAATGAGCCAAATACAGCAAAATAAATAGAATACAGCCACTGCCACCCCCCACACCAACCTCACCCCCCCAGTCTACAGAGGAAAAAATGCAAGGGTTAGTTTCTTCAAGCTCATCCTTGTTCTCATGCTACATACAGGGATGAGCTAAGAAGCAAATTCAAACCCAGGCTCCAGATACAGTAGGAAGAGGGGAGAGGGGGAGAAGCCCAAAGGTGACTGGGCATCATGTCAGGGGGGTACCAGTTTTGGGCAAGGGGCACCACTGTGCTCTTCTTCACACCCCTCGGGGCGCAGTCTGGGGCATGGCACAGGGAAGAGGGTTCTTAATGCCTTACGCCTTGCCAGGCCCATCTCATGCAAGCCCTGCCACAAGACCGCATCACTGGGCACCCGCACAAGCCACCCCTTGGAAGCGCCCGGCTCCGTCACCGACTCGAGGGGGAGCCCCGCGGCCTGCCCCCCACTGCGGGCAGACGAAGCCCTGCCAAGGGTGCCCTCGTGCCCCCGGCCTCCTCCTCCGGAGAGGGGCCGGAGCACACCCCCACCACCCCGCGCGGCTCCAGCCGCCCCGACAACCCCCCGCGCAGCTCCCCGGGGCGGGGCGGGGCGGGGCTAGGACCCTTGCCCCCGGCCCGGCTCCCACCTTGGAGACGAGGAGCGGCTCGCCGTGCTCCAGCCCGCCCGTGAGGGTGAAGCCCCAGGGGGCGCCGCCCTGCAGCAGCAGCGGCACGTACTGGAAGGAGACGAGGCGGCTCTCCGTGCGCCCGGCCGCCGCC